AAATATATATATATATATATATATATATATATATATATATATATATATATATATTTGTTCTAACAGAATTCATCAAAATTGGAATTTGTATATTGTTTTTTTAATGTGAGGTAACACTGTTTGTGAATTTGTCCAATTCAAACACACCAAAAAATTTGCCTATTGACTGATAAAGGGTACTAAGCAAATGATTTGTCATTTAGGGTTTTCTTCAGAAGTAAATAGTATTTTTCTGTGCCTCCCAGCACATGAAGTTCTAACCAAAGGGCTACGAGCCGAAATCCTGACCCATGCGCAATAAGATCGAGGATCAACTTTACTAGGGTACGTAAAAACACGAATCACATTTTATGCCAATTGGACAACGCATGAGTCTACCCTTAGTTTAGTGCCCTTTACCAACGATTACACGAAATACCTGATAGCTAAAACGTATTGAGCATGTGAATCGATTTTCGGGGATTGGAAACCGCACGATAAATAACAAATATTGCTTGATTGATTAGAACTGATCATCCTTCAGAATTCACATTCCTCAGCTCTTCCAGTCAACAAAGCACTCGGAAGCACTAGATTCGAGTTTCGCTCTTATAAGAACTCATCAGTAGTGCATACCCACCGTCCCATCCGGGAAATCGAAATCCGGACCCATCGCATGGAAGGCATGTGTATTACCACTGTACCAACCGGCTCATGCCAGGGCTGAACCGAATTGGCAAGTCATGTTTGTTCAGGCGCCGTGTTCAGGGATGGTCAGTCAGTTCAATTTGGTCCGTTTGCAATGAAGGGAGACAGTTGACTATCTGTTATTTCCAATCGAAAGCCTCCCACTAAGTCAGATCTTCCAGGCAGGTTACGGACTAAATGGCCACGAACCTACTGGGCTTGATTGATAATTCGCATCTGGTTGACAGTTACTTGTGATTAGTGTTGTTGGATAATTGATATGGATTGATTGATTAGAACTGACCATCCTTCGGACTTCACTCGCCTGTAGTGCTTCCGAGTGTTCGATTGAATGGAAGAGCTGAGGAATGTGCGTGAAGGTGAAGTCTAAAGGATGGTCAGTTCTAATCAGTCAGTATCAATTATTTCACAACACTACTCACAAGTAATTGTTAGTCAAATTTCAACGGTCTGCTTAAGTATATACGTGAATCCTCTGACGTGCCGAATTGCGGGTGGTTACCAGCATGTTTGGCAACACATATGTCCCACTATCACTTTTGATGGCAGTTTTACTTGGTAAGGAGCTTCGATTGATCACTTGTACACTTTATGCACTAATCCTCGTTATGCGGCTTTGTCCACTATCACAATTCAGTCCTCTTCAGTCCACGAGTGTAACCGGTCTCGACTGGAAAATTACAAACGTATGTAGTAAACAGTGTAGAATTATTCGACCCTCGGTACTCTCGATGAACGATCAATCGAAAACGTGACTGACCGTTGTGTCATATCTTTTGTTCACGGGTAACTGGTTTTAATGTGAAACTGTCGGTTTGATTTATCAAGCAGAATTCTGACTCTTCTCGTTGAGGCAAAGTCTACTGAACTGGCTGACTGTCATCGAAGACGAAATCGAGCAAAAAATTCAATCAGTGAATCTCATCGGACCCAGTGTGAGGTGCTGGGCATTGTAGTGAGACACACGCGTTCCGTATGAGGTGTTTGGAATCAAAATAGCAGACGGGAAGTCAGACATAAGATACTGATGAATCCTAACACGAACGAAACTAAAGTGAAGCAGTTTCTGAGGGATCGGTTGACTGGATGAATTGAGGGTTACGCGTGGAGGTGAAGCCTGAAGAATGGTTGGTCATAATACCAAATGCCACACTTATATTCACAAGCAAAGTATGATGAAATTCAATAAACTGAGAAATTGAGTGGTTCTCTATCATGTTTTTTTAACGCCCAACAAGTCTCCAACAACCAGGCAGACTAACATCATTCTTGTGTTGCTTTAGTACCTTTAGTGCTCCGCTG